CCTAGACAGATTGTATACTACTCAGTGGAGATTCTACCTTGCTCCACGCCCTCTAGATCTAGGTTCCCTCTTAAAAGCTTGTAAGCCAGTCACTTCTTGTCTCTGTAACCCCCCATTCTGGGTAGCCAATATCCAAGTTGCCCATCCATGTCCTCTCCTTATGTGAAGAGGGTGGGAGTGATCCTAGACTCACACTGTGCATTCCATGTTCCAATCATTAGTGGAAGTTTGCAGCTGTTTCTTCTTATTTTAAGTTGTGCCCCATCAGCAAATGAAGGTCCCCAAAAGTTTACTTTATTACCATCAACTCTGTTTTGAGGAGTGCCTTCCAACTTGAGGTGCTCATCTTCCTGCACTATATCAGACAGTGTTCTGTTGTTATATATAAGTTTTTCAGTGGTCAAACATTCAGAAGTAGTCTGCCTCTGCTTCTTCCGAGTCTGTATTAGTCTGGAAGCTCTGCTGAAACCATGAGTGTAGAATACCAGTGGAATAGCTTCCATCCAGGGTCAGTTATGTATCACTTTTTTATGGACCACTTAAAGGAGTAAAAGTGCTTTCAATTCAAATGTAGATGTGTGGCAAACTTTCAAGCAACTTGCCAGTCACCACAGTAGACAAACTGACACATGTTTTTGTCTTAGACTACTGCAATTGCTGACTGGTTTTCCTACTTCCATTCCTGCCACTTGATAGTTATCCATGTCCTGAGTTAGCCTTTTAAATGTAAATAAGATTGTTGCCAAACTTCTATATTTCCGTTGCTCTTAAATTAAATTCTAAAACTTCTGATATGGTGTTAACAGGCTCAGCAAGAAATGACCCCAATACCTGCATGGCTCCGATTTTTTCAGTTCTCTCTTTATTGATATGTAACAGCTAGAATGACCTCCTTTTCTGGCTTTCCTATTTTAGGGCTTTCACATAAGTTGTTCAGAGTCCTGGTATGGAGCTGCATGATAATGCAGTGGACTGCAAGGTTGGTTTGAACCACAAGGTCGGCAGTTCAAACCCACTAGCTGCTCCTCAGAAACCCTACACAGGGTTGCTATGGGTCGGAATCGACATGACAGCACTTAACAACAACAACACATAAGTTGGTCATTCTGCCTATAATGCTGTTCGCTGTACTTTATGCCATAAAAATGATCATTTTAAAATTGTAATTCCTTGGAGAAGCCTTTTAATACTGACACTCCCACTACAAGACTCCCAGACAGGAGTTATATGTATTTAAATGTACACTTGAAAGTTTTTCACAAGGGTGCTGGCAAATGCTTTAGGATATATAAAAAGTGTATATACTTGATTGTTAGGGATGACATTTCTGGCGTCTGTCCTGCTGAAAAGACTTTAGGTATTCAGAGGCCAAATCCTCCTCTTGAAATACTTCTCTAACTTTACTATGGTGGGCTAATGAGGCAATTGTACTTGCTATGTATGGCAAAGTAATACATACTTACTTCTTATTTCTTAATTCTTATCTACAGTACTGAGGAGGACTGTTCAAACGCGCCCTGCCCCGCGCATTCCTCCAACTGTGGAAATAATTGAGAAGGAACAGAATTGGGAAAAGAAGACCTTACCTCCTGGTACTGACATTCAGAATCCAAATGAAGAGAACCGTCTCTTCACCCAGAGGTGGAGGGTTTCTCATATGGGAGAAGATTCAGAGAACAAAAACCAGGCTCCGTTTGTCAGCCATTCACAGCCTTGCTGCGGTTCCCATGCAAACACTCAGCAGTCGCGAGTGTTCTCAGAAGAGCCTCCAGTATTGGGAGATGGACAACTTAGAACCAGTGAGGCACTGATACAAAGAAATGACATAATGACACGGATTGCTGAGCTGACACTGCAGAATTCAGCTATCAAGGCACACCTGAATAATATCATTGGCCCAGGGGGAGAGCAAGGAGATGGGCCTCAGGAAGTAAACAAACAAGAAAGTGCAGGCGACTTCACTGCTGTGAGTACCAGTTGAGAACTGACAGGATATATAGGAATTTAGAGTCCTGGTGTGGTACTGTAGGATAAGCATTGGATGGTTTAACTGCAAGGTGGGTGGTTCAAGCCCACCAATCACTCCTTGAAAATCCTATACAGGGTTGCTGTGAGTCAGAACCGACTCTACAGCACTTAATAACAACATATAGGGATGTCATCACATCACTTGTGCATCAAAAGGTACTTCTCTCCAGAATTGGTCCTGAGTGTCTTTAAGACTGCCACTGGATAGCTCAGGCTTTGACATGTCCCTGCTGAAAAATAGCCATTATTTATCAGTATGTAGTGCACATAAAATAAAAACAATATGAAAAAAAATTTTTAACGAGCAAAATGGGGCAAAGGAAAAATGTGTAGGAAGCTAAGATTAAGCTAGACATGACATTTTAAATATAAAATGAAGAATTAATATTACTTGAAACTTTGCCACACATCTACATTTGAATTGAAAGCAATTTTACTCTTTTTTTTTTTTTTTTAACTGTTTTATTGTGAATTATGTAATAGTTTACATGGGAGAACATTAGCTTTACATTCATCCTATCGTATATCATTACATTGCCATGGTTACAATCCCCTCCATGCATCATCAACAACCAAAGGGTATACCCTGCAAGCCTGCTCCCTGGTCGTCAGCACACAGCTCCTCTTCTTCTCTGGGTTTAGAGTTCCCAGCTGCTTCATCTCTCCACATCATCGTCGCTGCTTCCATCTCTGGCATCATGGCTTCTCTGGGTAGGGTCCCTTACTCCGCTCTTCTCCCTTGATGGTCCCAGGGACCTCTGCTCCTGGACTGCAGAGTCAACCACATCCCTCCTTTGCTACAAAACGTCTACCTTTATATTTCCTACCCTCACATTCAGTCCTGATAGTAATTATTCACTATTGTACTGCATGAGTGCTATCCCCATCTCCTTTCATCAGTCCCGCCCAGACAGATTGGATACTACTCAGTGGAAATTCTACTTTCCTCAGCGCCCTGCGACTCTAGGCTCCCTCTTGAAAGCTTGTAAGCCAGTCACTTCTTGCCTTTGTAGTCCCCCCATTTTGGGTAGCCAATGTCCAAGTTTCCCATCCCTGTCTACTTGAATGTTGGCTACCCAAAATGAGGGGGGTGGGAATGATCCTCGCTGTAAAGATGTGTTCCTTCTTTTGAGCTACTGCATTCATAGGTCTAGGTCAAGGTCAAGCACTTTTACTCTTAAAGTGGTTCATTATGTATGTTGTTGTTAAGTGCTGTCAAGTCAGTTCTGACTTATAACAACCCTGCATAAGGTGTTCAAGGTGAGCGTGAACTGCCAACCTTGCAGTTCAAACCAACCTTGTAGTCCAGCGCATTACCCACAGTGCCAACAATCAACCATCAGTTCATGTCGAATTAATTTTTTTAGGATACAGAATGTTTTTCCCCATACAAATGATATTTTAAGATTGTTATACTCAGACTTTATTGTACATCGGAATTATCTGGGAATTTTGCTAAAATGCAGTTGCGGATTTAAGCAGTTCAAACCCAGCAGCCATTCCTTGGAAACCCTATACAGGGTTGCTGTGAATCAGAACCAATTCTACAGCACTCCAACAACAACAATATAGACCTGCATACTTCTGTTATGTTCCCAATTGATGGCTAATGCTGCTGATCCAAGAACCTTACTTTTGAGTAGCAAGCAAAGTTCTGCTTGTATGGTGCAGGAATTTTGTAAGTTAAGTAGACCTTGTGGGTGAATGTAGTAACTTACACTTCTTTATTTCGTTGTGGGAAGAAGAGTTCCAACTGGGAGGATGTTTGTAGCTTACCACCGCATGCTGGTCCCAGTGATGAGACTTCCTTTGGCTTTGTTATGAGATAAGATGATAATAGTCAGGTTGCTGGTAGGGGATGAAATAGTGTTTTAATATTGGGAAGGAACTAGGCAGCTCCATGGGTTAGGAGTGATGGCTCATGGGAAACAAGTGCAGTGTGACTACTGAGTGACAGAATTAGTAATCAGAAGGGACTGGCAGAAGGGGTGCTAGGAAAGGAGCATTGGGAATGGCAGCTGTTATCTGCAGGTGTGCGTGAACACCAGCTGTCCTAATTGGGACACGTTCCAATGTTTGCAGAGATTGAAGATGATTGAAACAGTTAATGCTTGGTTCGAAAAAGTCAGCAGGAATTTTCCTCTTTTTAAAAATTTATATATAGATCAAGCTAGAAAGGACAAGCTAATAATATTGCTGCCCTCACCACCCTTTTTTTTCATAATTGGAAATAGAAAATGATCTTTTCATTTTTTT